GTTTGGCCATTGAACAGGAAGGTACTGAACAGTATTTTTCTGTCGGCTACTGTTCATTTCCTTGAAAAAGGAGTCTGTCAATTCGATGTCAATGAAATCCTAACGAGTGACCATTCAAATGAAAGTCACTAGGCAGAAATTTCGTGTAGTACTGTTTCTTATGTCGTGTGGGTGTCGACCAAGTGGTCCTTAGTTTTCTCGTGGTACTCTTATTATGCTGTCAAGATAGTCGTTACTTTTGATTCTTTGGATGAAATCCTTAACTGTGACCATTCAAATGAAACCTACTGAGCAACACTTTCCGGTGGTACTGTTTATTACGCTGTTCAAGGTGGTTCTAACTTTTGAGTTTGTAGATGAAATCCTTTTAAAGCGTGACCATTCAAATGAAAGCTGTTGAGCGGTACTTTGCTGATGAAGGTAGTTCTAACTCTTAAAACAGTTCACAACAATCCTACGGTACGACCATTTGAAACAAAAACAAAATTAAACTGTACTGGCTCTCATGCACATACAGGTTTATTAATAGCTTTTTATACTTTTTAAAATTCGTTCTTCTTGGAACCGTTCTGTATCACAAAATGAGCTTTGGGCTTTGCTATTCTCGATAGGTTAGGAAGTTTAACTGCTGCAAGAACCAATGTAAACTTTTAAAAAAATCCTGAAGCTGCAGAAAAGTCACTAAAGACCGTTCAAAACCCGCCGCCGTAACTCATTTCTGTAAAGTGGTTTTCTTGTATGAGACTCTATGACGTCATATGCGCACTGAAGATCGAATGTTAGAAGCTCCCAATCATACAAAAGAAATATAAACATATTAATAACCGTATATCTTTGGGGTGGTCGTAAACAAAATACATTTTGAAGCAATTCATCTTTTTATCTAGTTATTTTTGTTATGTTACACTTTGTCATTAACTCAATTACGATTGTCTTCAACTAATAAATTGGCGTTTAATATAATTAAAGAAATGGCAAAGATCACCAAACATGCATTGACCTAGAATCTTCAAATACTTTTGTCAGCTATTGCACTTATATTTTAGGTGAACGACGGTCTTATCGATTCCAAATGTCATAATCACATTTCAAGGATAGTCAAAGTTCAAAATTTCCTTTAGAAACCGTCGAAAAGCAAACTTAAAGTAGTTAAGGAACAACTTTTACATAAACGATCACACTCAGTACTACATGAAGGTACTGCTCAAGTTAGCTTTCGGGTAAATGGTCTCAATAAAATACAAATAAATATAAAATATAAACATGCACCTTGCACTTCTAATATCCACCGTGCAGCAGCGAGAAAAAAAAAACCTACTCGCTGAGTAGATTCCATGGCCAGTCGAATGGTTTTTTTACACACCGTTTAAAGATAAAAACGATTGGGTAGCCTCCAATATTTTAAGTAACATTTCCAGCCCAGGGACCCGTTTCTTAAAGGTCACAATAACTTTTCAGCTCCGCAAACCTGTCTTATGCCATGTTTGCATTTTAGATCAAAGTTTCAAAAATGTTGAAAATGATACATGCAATGAAACTATCAGTTACCGAAGCAATATTATCCAGTTTATGAGCTAGAACCTGTTCTACTGTTCAAAAGGTTTTGATTTAAAAATTTGCCTTCGGGCCCCAAAAGTTACTGGGCCTTTCGAGAAATAGGCCTCAGGTCAGTTTGAACAGTGTATTTCAGACAGAATCCGTCAGGAAATTGGCAATGAGTAATTTTAATTTTCAGTTACCAGAGAGATCTAAACAATATCGCATTTTTTAAAATATTTTTAAGGGCTAATTACGCAATAACACCAAAGAAATTTATTATGAGAGTTCGAGAAAATAAATGTCAAATTTCACCAAACGACATCTTACATAACATTTTCAGAATTTTACCTGTGTTTTCACAATTCTTGTCAAAATTGACATTTATTTTCTCGGGCTCCCATGAGAAATAGTCTTTGGTGTTATTACAGATAACTAGTTATATCTTTATAGCCCTTGAAAAATGTAGAAAAGAATGCGACGTTGTTTAAATTGTTTATGCTGTACAAGGGTTTTGTTCACTGAACTCTGGATTCTGTCTTAAAGTGTTAATTGCAAACTGATTATCTTTGCAGATACTCAATTTAAGATTTTTTTTCACAGTGTAACTTAACCACACCTGAGTACATAAGCGCCAGTTTTCATCCAGTTAAACAACTCTTTCTCTTTCGCATATTTTTTGGTAAATCCTCCAATTAATCTATCCTAGTCGTTTTCATTTAGAAGGGTGCCAGCAAACACGAGCACCAATGAAAGTTTAGAATAAGGTTCTCAGTCCTTAGACTGTCTACAGAATTTGATGCTGTCTCTTTGTCGCGTTGTTATTGATGCCATTGCTCTAATTTAATTTATGTCAGCCTTGAAGAAGTTAAACAATACCTTCGTACCACCCCTTGTAACTGGTTTATTTTAAAATTCTTTCCGAGTCCCAATGGCACGTCTTCTTCAGAGCTTTGTGACTTCGATAGATTTTAAATCCAATTGTATCTGAATATGTTTAGTGTTCCCAAAACTGTGATTGCAGACTATAGTAAATTTTTACCGGTTTTCTGGAGCTGAGACTGAGTGGTCATTTCCGGTCTCCATTAACGATCACTGGAGATACTGATGCAAATGCCAGAAAATGAAATGAAAGCAAGAAGCAAAAATACAACCTAACTGTTTGATAGAGCAGGGCAAATAACGGTGTTGAAGTTGAAAGACAAAGATTTTATGCTAGAGAAAAGATACCCTTTTAGAGCCCTGATGTCAACTGATTGAGGAAGTTTCCCCTTTGCACACGCTTCTTACTGTAGCCTTTCTTTTTCAAGTTGCATTATTTGATAAGGTGATTTCTTTTCTGGTTTCTTCTCTCCTTTAACTCTTTTCCATTTCATTCGTCGATTTTGAAACCAAACTTTCACCTGTCTTTCTGATAAGTCCAAACTCACCGCGATCTCATATCGTCGAAGTCTGGTTAGATAATTATTTCGAGCGAATTCGTTTTCAAGTTCACGTAGTTGATGCGTTGTGAAAGCGGTTCTTTCTTTGCGTTTCTTTCCTTTTGGTTTTTCTGTTTTTTCCTCTTCTTCGTCTTCATCTTCTTCAACGTCTTCCCCTGTTTTCACAAAAAATATATAAGGTTAAGCGTCATGCGTTCATAGAGTGCTGTCTCTTGAATTCTGCATGTCGAAACTCTCTTGAAGTTCAAGTCTCATATACGAGAATAAATGATTTGCCGTTTAAATCAGGACCCAGCTTATCTTCACTTTCGCAATTCTTTGAAATTGAAAATGAAGTTTTTCAACGAGGAATGATATTTTTTAAAATATATAAATAAAGATTTAAGCCATGTGATCATTTAGCAGATTAATTTGCTGATTAAAGTAGCCTAACTTTTAGGCACGTCTCTTTATGTGAAATTGAACATTTTAAAAGTTGTTGAACGTGGAACGATAATTTCAATATATAAAATAATAAAGATTTTATAGCCATATGAATATTGCCTTGTGTCTTAAAAAGCATGAATTCGTTGAACATGTGGCAACAGTCTGCACAATGTCGGGCTCTTTGCAGTTCTATAATCTCAGCAAACAGGTAAAATATTTAAAGGAAAACAAAGTTTAATAATTTAAAGAGCCCTTTGCCCGTTTTAACAGCAGGTAAACAGATTATCATATTATTTTAGTCGGTCGTATCGCGAGAGTATGTGAACATTCTAAAGCAGTCTTTTGTTGTTACTTGTGCGCTGTATTTTGATGGTGTTCGCAAACATTTGGCGTATCCACCGCGCTTATAAAACTCGATATTTTGGCTAAGTAGTAGCTAGCCTAGAAATGCATCACGGCAATTATAAAATTAATTAATGTCGACTACTAAAGTTTTTTTTATTTTTTAGAATATCTACAGCTGTTATTAATCCGTTGTTTTGTCGGCCTTTTTTTTTTACTGGTTCAGCATACCATTCACGCCAGTAGAGAAACTTCTGGAAGACACATTTAACTCGTTAGCCGTTAAAAAGTCAATCCAGGACTAACTCTTTTTGGTCAATTTCATTATAAGCTTTAAAACTGTGATTGAAAACTATAAACGTTAATATTTTTGTATCATTTTGGTAGTGCCAAATAATGAAAGTTCAACAAAGAGATGTTTTGTTCAGTTTTATTTTTGAAATCCTTCATTCAAGATCATCCTGTCAACCCGATGATTCAGGAAAACGCAATGATTTGAGCAATAAAAGTTCCTTAAAGTTTAGTCCTCTTTTTGGTGTTTATTATTATTTTCTTCACAATTGGCTTCAGCTTTCTTGCCGAGGAAAAGAGTTAAGTCTGCCTTTCGACTTCATTCTCTTTACTCAGTAAAAAACGATTTTTAACAAGAATTATGGCCCAAGACGGGACGGCAGATTTGCTTTCAGTTTTATGAGGTGCGCCGGATCCACATCATGTTCTCAGCGACATAACACACGCTTTGCGCCAACAGGAGTAATCTTATTATTCTATTTCAAGAAAATCGACTTTTCAGATGTTTTTGTTACCAAATGTTAAGGCAATATACTGTGACCCGTGGTCCCACAGCGATATTTTTCCTTTGATGTGTCCGCCGACACTGTGACCAGTCCAGTTAATAAAACACTTATTTCCCTCTATCATAGCTTCACGCTTCCCAGCTTGGATTACCTAAACATGTCATGCTTTCGTACTTGGCATCTGTGAAAAGACTCCAATTTTGTGTAGGGCGATATTTGCTAGCGTAGGCATTGTACGCTCATATGAAAAATCGAGTCCAAGCACTCTGGTTTCGGCTTTGTTACTCTTGATTAGGGGCTTTCCAGTACGCAGCAATATGGAATGATATAATGCTCTTGCATGAGTGCGTGTTTTCATCATCAATAGCAGATTAAAATGTTATTAATCATGAAACTGCAAAGTTTGAGAGGTAACGATACAAGCCAGGATATGCTCTTTTGTTCTTTCCTTTTTAATGCCGTCAGACTTCCAAACTGAATTTTATGTGTCAGTCCTTTGGGTGCAAATCAGGAGGTGTTTCTCTGTCTAAGTTGCGAAGTATAAGTTACAGAAATCAGTTGTTAGTCAGCAGTTTTACAAATGTTCAATTTCAGGGAAATCAGCTCTCTTTTTCTCTGTAGGCACTTTTCCTACAAACCTGAAATAATTTTCTGAATGGAGAAAGGGGTGCGAAATATAATTTAGATTCTTAAGCCGGTACTCCATACACCCTTAAAAAAAGTGTAATACTTTGTACTTGTAATTTAACGGTGTTTTACCAAACATCAGTCTTCTTTTCCTTTTTGTCTCTCCTTCAAAGTCCAGAAAAGATTTAAAGCTCATAGAACGGGAAAGGCAGATGTAAAAATAACATAGGTCATGATTAAATTATTTAAATACCTCCACTTTCTCGACACACGAAGTTAGTGGATGTACAAGTTTCACTACACCAAGGAGTTAAGAAAAAACTATGGCACATTTTCAACGTGCTTCTGACGGTATCGTAGCTAGAACTTTGACACTGTGATTTCTTTCGACGGTCTACGTTGAAGTGTTTCCAGTTTGAAAGGATTAAAAGCTGAGGAAATTGGGGAAGAGTATGCAAAAAATAGGGAAATCCTTTGAGGCTAAACTTTTTATCATCCGTGTATTAACGCCCAATTAAGTTTTGTTTTGCGCTTGAATAAAAGGCAAAAGCTAGTAAGAGTACTAAAACAATGTGTGCTATCTGACAATGTAAAACGCAATTAGGATTGAGTTTTTCCCTGAACAATATTTGTTGCGTATTACTGATTACTCCTGACCAGTGAGATAAGTCTCATCTGATTGTGTCAAGCTTTAACGACACACATTCAACTGCTAAAATCATTCTAGTTGCAGGAGGGGAAAATGGAAATTGCGTTCTCGCTTTTTTTGTTTTGCTTTTGAAAGACAGGGATGGAGTTAAAATAGCTGAAAACGTTTTCTGTAAATCTTAAGCACGGTCTGAAAGAGATGAGCTGCAGCTTTACTCTGGAAAGCCAAACAGCTGTAAATTTCTCCACAAGCACAAAAATTTCAGTGGTCTTCAAGCACCCACCAAGGAAATATTGTATCATTAAGACTTAGTACATCTGGAGCCCTCATGATTACCTGCAAGTTACGAATGTCTACTTTGTCAAACGATGTAGTGCTATACCTTTATAAAACTCTAATGTTTTTTTATTTTGATTTAGTCTAGTTTGCTGTCTTTGTTGCCAAGATTTTTTTTGCTACAATCTAACACAGGTCGGACGGGTTGAAAAAAAAAAAATCAAAAGTGTAATCATATTTTTTGAATGCCATACTTTTTAGAGGCTTTAAGCAGCTGTTTGAAGAATATTACTGAGTTTCTGCCGCTCTTTTGAGTGGCAAAACCGGCGTAGCTCTCGTAGATAAGTAGAGTAGGATGGCAGCAACCGGGTCGAAGAATTGATCATGAAAATCTCAATCTACGCTTTTACCTTAACTCTAAGCTTGACTTTGTTTCTTCTGATTTTATCTTCTTTTTAAAATTGCTTAATAAGCTTTCGGGAGAGGATAACAAAATCATACCAGAGGTGTGCACTTTTTATTTGATTGATTTGAAGCTTGAAAAGCCTCATAAGACCAGGAAATACACTAAGATTCCATCAATTCTCAATCAAGCAATTTTTTGAGGAAATGCGGGTATAATACGCTGTTAACTATGATATAATGAGCAATACACGGCAATCACACTCACGAATCTCGTAAGACAATAATCCTTTTCCATAGCTCATAATCTGGCGGTAACAAATCACGTCGCACCACAAGAAGCATAGAAATTCTAAATCACTTCAAATGAATATTACTCACCTTGATAGCAATTGTCAGCTAATTTCTCGCTGACGCTCGTTTCGTGTACGGTTTGCTCAACGTCTTTCTCTCTGTGAATTAGCGGTTCAGGTGGTGTTGCAACCGGTTGTGGGGTTAGCGAAGGAGGCGTGTAGTAATGACAATGAGTTTCGTAACTTTGTCTCGAAACTGTTAGATCCGGCAGACGTGATTCGCTTGGGTAGTGGATGGCCGAAGGTGCGGACGGTGAGATATGATTGAACGGAGACGGATTAGTACGCGGGAACGCGTTGAAAGTGTAACGCGGCGCGTTATAAATGTACGGTTGATAAGGTGGATGATGCAGCGAGTTTTGCTGGGATAGATGGTAAGGAGCATTGTAATGCCCATAGCCCTGACTGCTATAATTGAAGCCTCTTGCGTACATTTTCCTCGGCTGTAACAAGGTATTTCCAACAGATTTTGCTGGCTATGAACTCGACTTCCGCCACGGCTACATGTGTTTTCCGATCAAACTGCGACTGTTTATGACATGCTCGGCTCGCGTAATTGATATACCATACTCGCCCCTGAAGTTGGGTGTTGGGAGATACAAGGGCTCGATCGAGCTGGGGGCTGGTGTCACCCCTCTTTTCAGTGAAATAAGTACAATGCCAATACTTGCTCAATCGACTCGTAGCGTCTTCAGTCTTACTTCCATTAGCTGTTAATCGTCGGCTTGGCTACAAACTCACCAAAATTGCCCCCCGATGAATGCCTCCAAAAAGAGTCTGTATTTGTCGGTAATGACCGACACACGAAAAACAAATATCGCATGCTGTTCGGAGAGTCGTGATAAACGTTTTCTTTGAATTTACCGACTTATCAGATGCTAAACGAATTAGGGATTTCCCAAATTACTATAACCCCATCACATATGTATTCTGGGTCTTAAGTCTTAAAGTGCCTGTAGCGAGGTTCCAGTTCATTTCAGTAATGTAGCAGTTCTGAAAGTTTTGCAAAGTCCTTCCCTATTTTATTCCTTGCTTAATTGAACTCAAGGAAGAACAACGTTTTAAGTTTTTTTTTTGTTTATTCAGTAAACAGAAGAGAGCAATTTGTTTTGATCTTGTAAGGCGCGGTATCTTTATTAGAGTGTAGGCAGGAAAAAGGAAAAGATTTGGGTGATTTGATTTGATTGGATTGCGTGGATTTGCCGGGGAGTGAAAACAAAAAGCAGTTTACAAAATCTTTGAGTGAAAGCTAAGTTATCATTTCTAACGTTATAGTAATAATTTTGAAGCGCTGTTACATCTGTCAATATCTCTGCATATTACATCCAATTGGGAAATAATAATTTTTTGGAAATCTATATTTAGTTCATGGGCCGACTAAGGAGATGCATTCAGACCTCAAATGCTCTGAGTGACGAGGGTTTTCTGTTTTCGTCGCTTTCGTTAGAAGCTAAATAAGTTTTCCTACTACTGATTCATTACAGCCAAAACGACCTATATTTGCTTAAAATTAAAACCTCCTTATCTAGACAATTGATTTATGTCGGGTTCACTTTATGTCCCTTTAGGGCAGTCAATTGGTGTACTTATTGACCTTCACTTGAAGTTAGACGTATTTTATTGTCATTTGCTCTCTCACTACTGCGTTAAGTGATTATACTTGTCCTAAGATTGTTTGTTTTGTTGTATCTATTACCTTAGTATTCTATTTAGTCTTCTAATCCATAAAATGATTCATCTAAGAGAACTGAACAGCCGCATCTTTAATTTAAGAAAGCAACTTCAATCCTTTCCGCCGGCAGCTGGAAAGAAAATTAACTTGTCGCATTGGTCTTGAAGATTTTAACAAGCCGTCATTTTAAGGTTTATCTTAACGTCTTAGACTGTGTACAGAAATTAAATCATCATTATTTTCCTGTTACACCGCTGGCTAACCACGAACAATCAGTAGGCAACCATCAGAGATACTTAGATTGCCAGCTAAAGGATCACCTGGAACAATATGTGTCAAGAATTCAAAATGACTAAATCTCGAATTCTAGCCAGTAATCGGTGTTTTTGTTTTCGTCATCGGCCAAAGAGAACTTTAAACTAACACTTTCAATGCATGCATCTTATAGTAGACTTAATCAGTCTCCGTCTGTGGCCTGCATAAATCATGAGTTTTTTTAACGTGGCAGAACCCCTTTACCCGTTCAAAATTCAGGGGAATGAAAAGGCGTTTTTGTTTTGCACATTCTTCGACATGTGACAACCCGCTGATCCGGAAACTACCTACTTACAGGGTTCACACTAAATCGCGGACACATTCTATCCCTGAATTGGAAGCGGGATGTGCATTCCACTCCATCTACCGACAATGGAAGAGCCTTAAGATGAAATTAATTGCGACCTCAGGACGGAAATTAAGATACCGGCGTGACGACATTGCCGCAGCAGTAGGCTCGAATTGGTCAATAAAACACCGCGGTCGCAGGAGATGGGCTGAACTAAAAACTTAAAACATGGCTGTTTATTTGTTTATGTGAGACTCCTTTGCTTCTTTACTTGCTGTTCTCTATAGGCGATACGACTCACTTCCTCGTTGCTCCTGAAGTTTAAGAGTTTCAGAGTGTTTACACTAGACGGGAGTACGAGAGTGAAAGACACTGTCAGCCCGGCCCCGGGACATGTCAGTCACATTCCATCCATGGAATAGAAGAGGGATGGCACCCGTGGTTTATCGACGATGTACTAAATGGAAGCCTTGCTGGGAGGGAAGGAGAAGTGTTCAGGAAGAAACCATTAAGAGGCGGGGCGACGACATTGTCAGGGTGGTTGGCATTTTCAATTTGCCAAGCGGCTTGCAAAAGAACGCTGGAGGTGGTCTGAACGGGCATTTAAAAAGGGCTATCTATAAATGTCCCCTGCAGCTGTCGCTACTACCGTAACACAACCGACAACAACACAAGAGCTACCTAATTTATTTCCAGATCTTGGCTTTAAGGGGGCAATCTTTCTGAAAGCATTGTTTTTCGCTTATTTCCGCCCTTTTTCTTGATCTAGCCAAGATTACATGCAATCAAAAAATGACTCCTAGGAGTCCTTGGTTGAATTATTTTTGCAGAATTTTTGGATGATTTTTCGAATGTTTCTAATGTATAAAAGGTAAGGGGGATGTTTAAAATTGTGGATCTGGGTTAATATTGGATTCGGGGGTCGTTAAAATTGAAAATATGAAGTGAATTAGTAGAAAAATACCAGATCGTCCGCCACTATATCATTTCCCCCCCGCCCCCCCCCCCCAAAAAAAAAACAACAACCAGAGTGGCCCCGGCGTGGAGAAAGCTTTCCCCTTACAAAAGAATGGCGCTCAAAACGTAACCTTTTCAATCTTTTAATGGTGGTAAATTGGCTATAATTATTAACTAAGTGGATAAAAGCAATTTTTTTGAAACGAATGCTAGATTGGAATAGACATACGTTCAACTCCTGAAATATCAGATTTAAAAATGCCTTTTTCCTAACAGGCCTTTTTGCCGAAATATTCTTGCTTTATTCGGAAGGTGGGAAAAATACCGTGGCCAAGACCCTGCGAGCAGAGCTGAGTCTTTCTTTTTAACTCGATTCTTTTCTGTCTGATCATAGATTTCCCCAGGGTAGTGGTTACACTTTTAAAAATGTTAAAAGGGTTTTTATTTATCATATCTTTTGACAAACAAAACAAAACAAACCAAAAAAAAACACTAGTAAAATTGATCAAGAGACAAATTAAGTCTAAAGCAAATTAAAAAAATTTTCCAGTATGTATTTCTGCAAGAATATGTTTTGTTCCAGGAATTCAGAAATCGTTTTTTGTTAAAGCACATTTTTTCTTATGCATGTCATTTATTCAATTTTTTTATTCCTATAAATTTTCTCTGTTTCCCTTTTATATTGTACAGGTTGCTGTATTCTTTTCAACCTAGAACGTTTAAAATGAGAACATCTCCCGTGGCACATTTCCACAGGGCGTATAAAAAGTATTCTTGCCTTCGGGCCCTTGGTGACGTAAATTGGTACAATTTCGGTGTTTCCTGAGTCGCAGCTGGTTCTTACGTTTTGAAACTGAAACTGCTGAACATACGACTTTACTTTAGTAAGGTATAAAAATATTGTTTGACAAATCTGTTATCACGATCTGCGTTCCACCAAAGTTGCAATTGCGAGTTGGCAAACTTTCTGAAAATTTCGGTTTAAAACAACAAATTGACAAAAAAAATAAAAATTAAAAAGGAAGTTGAAGTATTGTTTGGCGGGGCCCTGACATTATTACATGTACATGAATCATTTTAGAAGCATGTTTTGAAGAAATGCCAGTGTATGCCAAAAAAAGACTACTGAGTTGATTGAAAAGAAAGTTATTGCAAAGACGATACCGCAAAAGAAAAATCTTGTTGAACAGCACGTCCAAGCTGGTGTTATAGTTTCGTTTCCTAGTTACCAGGGTTAAGTTTCCACTAAATCTCAGTTGGAAGTTAAATTGTCAAAAATTCCTCGACTGCTTGTCTGTTTCTACTTGCTAAAAACATCTTTCAGAAAGAAATTTAAACCAGATTCAAGTAAATGTTTTTTAGTTGAGTTGATCCAAGTCCAAAACGTGAAGAGAACTGAATGAATACTCGTCGAGCTTTAGCTTATCGGCATGATTTCAGAAATTTCAAATTTTTCATTCAATGTAGCCTTAATTTCAGACGATTACTTCGAGTCGTTTTTAGCGGCTCCCTCAGACGTTACTGGGGTAGTAAAAACGACTCGAAGTAATCGTCTGAAATTAGGCTATATTTAATGATCATGCAGTCGTACTCTTTAGATCAGAAGAAAATAACCAAACCTTTATTTTGCAAGTGGATCTCAGCTCTTAGGGGCCGGTTATTTTAACAGAGTTTAACCAGTGTTTAACAAAACCGCGTTCTAAGTCATTTTCAGTTTGCCCAACGTTTTTACCAAGTAAGCGGCCTAAGTGAACGGTTTCATTAAAGCACATAGAGTAGATTATAAATTAAAAGCATTTGTCTTCTTAAAGTGACCCACTAAAGAAGAGAGATGGAGGCCCAAAGATTTCTTAAACCGTGGTCTAACTTAGACCTCGTTTAAATAACCGACCCTTAGTGTTGGAAATAAACTCCATAAAGCGACCAATCAAATGATAGTGAGCGAGCAGTGCGAGAAAGGTGAGGTGAGGTTGTCTGTTTCAAGGTATGTTACAACATGAAATGCGACATTTTACTTGATATTCTTAGAACTAAAGAGGTTAAAAGTCTTGCAGCGATTATTTCAACATGATGGGGGCTTGTGTAAGCCGGGCACCCATTACATATCGTCTAACAGTATTTCATCAAGGTCTTGAAGTTAGTCGTTTAACGAAAACCGCCGACATGGCCCCGCGCTCGAGTCGGAAATGCCAAGCCCGATCAAACGTTTTCTTTTGTTGTCAAACTGTTTCCAGATGTTAGTTTTACAGAATGAGCCTTTTGGTATTAAAATTCCGGTAAAATAGAAAAAAATTCCCTAGGTTTAAGTGCTAAGAAAATGAATGTTTTTGTACGAAGAAGTATAATCGCGATTTCTCGAACCTGCTGGAGATAGGACGGAATTAGTTCGTATTCATCACACCAGTTCGAAAACTACCGTGTTTGACTGGGGAGGGAGAGTGCGTTTTGTTTCGAAACATGACTCAAGTTTAAGAAATTGAGGATTTTGCATAACAGGTTTAAGCTTTTTCTAGTGCGCTCGTACATACTTGCCACTTATTTTCGATAAAGTAGTGGAAATATTGCCCTTTGATAAGAAGAAATGAGCTACATGGGGAAATATTTTGAATGCGAAGAAGCGGACTAAGAATGTTGTTTCTTCAGCCCAGGCTGAATATTCTTATTTTTCTGCCAACTTTAGGCTGAAAATATTCTTGTATTATTCTTAAATTATAGCTTATGACATTTGCGTTTTAGAATATATTGGGGTATCAATTATAATTAACTGTGCAGGTTTTTTCGTTTTGTTGGCAATTTTTGCCGTTTAGACAACGGAATAAGTTGAAAACATATAATTGTAATTGTGTATTTAAGTTTTTAAACACACAAAATTATATTCTTTTCAAAATCTCAGCCTAGGGTTTATTCTTTAAATATTCTTGAAATTTCGCAAAATTTCAGCCTCGATAATCCGGCTTATAAAATATATTCTTATAGAAAAAATATATAATACACACGAGAATAAACCTTTTCTACTTAACATAGATGAAATGGGTTCAATGTAGGAGTATCGAAGGCAGATTAAAATAATTTATCCGGATGTTTTGAAAACACATTTGAGAGACTCAGAATGTACTTTTAAGTTATATCGACTATGAGCTACTATTTCATTAGTAGAAGTACGTTTTGAATATTTTACAACACCACCATATGTTTCACATTCATTTTATTGTTTCTATGTTACATAGTTTACTGAAAAACCAAATCATTCAATGCGTCTGAGTCAATGGCAATATATGTAGTCAGTTCTCAACTGAAAGGGCAGAAACTGCCATACAGTTTATTTTTCCAACAGAAACACTATAATTTTGCCGACTTATCTTTTACCGAGCTGTTTTCCAAAAACTGCAGGTATTATTTAGATTTCAGCATTTTTTGCGTCAGCTAATAAAAGAAAAAAGAAAAAAAAAATGGCAAAGGAGGGACTGTCTACAACATTTGAAAAGTCTTAGCGGAACGCATCATTGTTTTTCGGCTGCCAACCGCAATTCCGGTTAGCCCTCAATTTATAAATGTCTACCTGCTAGTAATCAGTTAACCAATGAAACGCTTTAAAAGAGGAAAATAGAATTCTGAAGTACCACTCACATGAAAAGCCTCTGGCAACCATGGTACGAACCGGTTAATTAATCAGTGAACTCGGAGTCCACAGTTGGCAACCTCGTTCCAGTATTTACCATGCTCACTTCCATAAAATCAATCTCGTTTTTATTATCTTCAATTCCTATATCAGCTGCTAAATGTTAGGATACACTTATTTAAGAACAATAGATTTTTTCTGTAAAATGTCTTGATTTATCTAATTTTATTTTACGGTAGACTATTTGCAAAATGCTTTCTCTTCAGTTGTTCGGCGTTGTTGCGTTGTTGAACGAATTTTAACAGAAATCGAAACAATTTTCATTGACCCTGCATTTCTATAATTCAGCTTCTTTTGCAGACCTCGTGTACTCTTATTTTCATTAATATCTATCTGTTGGCGTTTGGATTTTTCATCAAATTAGATTATCAAAATCGATTTACCACAGAATTGTTTTCCGGAATCAAAATGTCCCATTGAAAATCTTTACGACCAGGTAATGCGTGTGATAACTTGAAAGTAGATTTCCCTGACTTTGAAAAGAAATAACCTTAATTTTTGCAAACTTTCCTAATTTTTTCCTGATCTTGAGGAAAAAAATAGTTTTTCCTTACTCTTCATTGACCTTGACAGGCTCATTATTGGGAAATTTTTAGTAAGATGCTGAAACGAATGTTATCGGGTGCTTGCGCTGTCTTCGGGCCACAAAGGTTTGTTCGATCGATGACGAATGGAAGCTACGGCACAAAAGAATTTTTAAGTCGTAGTTTGCCATTTTTCTATAAAACGTATACTTTCGTTTCATCTGCTGTTCCTGAACGAAGAGTCTTCAATTCCTTTTGAGACAATTATTTCGGCAGATTTGTTTGTCATACATTTTATAGGCCAGTGCCTTGCTCGGCGTCTTGGTAAACATTACCTTTTTCAAACAAGGTTTGAACGTATTCAAGCAATATACAAACAGCATGAATGGTACGGTTTTTCCATTTTCTATTCCCGCAGAACCCCTTCCGCTCTGTTCGTTTCTTTCTCAGTCAGATCAATGGAGTAACTACTCTTTTTCTGTGGTGATTTTCCTTTAATTCGTTTCCACTTCATCCGCCGGTTTTGAAACCACACCTTGATCTGTCTCTCCGTCAAGTCTAAGCTCACCGCAATCTCGTATCGCCGCAGCCTTGTAAGATAATTGTTGCGAAGAAATTCGTTCTCAAGTTCTTGTAGTTGGTGTTTTGTGAAAGCAGTCCTTTCTTTCCTCCTCTTGCTTTTTGTGCCTGATGTTTTCTCCTCAGATGACGGAGAATCTGCATGTTAAACAAAACAAAACATCAAAAACTGAATAAGTCGCTCAAGCGTTCCGTTCTGGGCTTTGATTTTCTAGGCGGTGAACGTCCAAATGATAGCTGTTATCCAATTTCGCGCAGTCTTTTTTTGTATTTGGAAAATTATCAAATGATTAATGATGTTTCCTCTCTCTGATCTTGGCCGCTTTGGAAACGAAAGGGCATTTAAATCGGTGTTACGCTGCAAAAGTCTCGCCGGGGCGTCCAAAAAAAACGAAATTTTGCTCATTTCCTAAGAAGATATTATCTCAGATGTTAAAGTAATTTGCAGAGAAGATCTCTGCTGTGGGTTTTTAATGGCCATTCCAGTCTATATTTATGTTTTGAGGACGTTTAACTCAAAACACAGACTCTGTAGGCATGCAAGCGCCGCATCACATTTAAGTCTTCTTCACGCAGCGAAGATGAGCGCCGCTTTGAGTTCGCATGAAGCAATTCATCGAAGGGGCATGATTCAGCCACAATTTGAGAATGCCATAACTCCGAGGTCTCTGGGTGACAAAGACAGACCGACCGACCGAGAGAAAAATCTACCGAACGTGACGCCGTTAAATGAAAGCGTCTTACGTCTTATAGAGCTGATCATTTGAGGTAGGATAGTAAAACGTTGTTGTCAAACCAGTGAGGTTTGTTGACCTACTAACTGAGCCGTTTCCTCTTTTTAAGTGTGTGTAAAAGTGTTTTGACCACATATACTAACAGTTTTGAGGTTGTATAAATAATTCTCAAGTCAAATGTATGCTATTTAAGAACTTTGTACGGTACGTTGTAGGTCATTTCAGTGGTATTATTCAAGTTGTTCACTGTTCATACGCATGCAGATTTATACGCTGAGTTCCTTATACTTGAAGCCGAAGAGGTCCTAGAGGGTTTGCCTGTATGAAAATCACTTTTGAATGATAACTTTTCGTTTATCTGATGACACTTTTTCTCGAATTCTTTAAGTGTTCTAACGTTTTGGTTGACAAAATAGTTAATTGCGTCGTCCGTAGGTCATCTCCAAGGAAATTGCGTCGCCTATGGCAGAACAAGTAGATCCTCATTAGTCAAGCAAGACTATCATAATTAAAAATAAAAAAGTTAACAGAGCCACAAATTAAATAACTAAGCTACAAATTTATATCGTTCGACAAAATGCACACATCTGCCGTTTAAATCTATTGAGAACGATACGTTTGTCTTCCCACTGATGCAAAACTGAGACAAAAACATGAATCTTCATATCGCCGCCGGGCAATTTATGGTTTCGTTTTATCATATTTATTCAGAACAATGTACTTAGTTTTCAGTAATTCTGTAAAACAAAGAAAGGTCGAAACTTTCAGGTCTGCAAAGGGTGAAACAGCCTGCCGCACTAGTTTTGTGTACAGTTAAAGGCTTTCAGAGCTGTATCATGGCCTACTAAGACTGAGTATCAGAGATAAGTTTTGATAGCTTCTTATCTACCACTGCCAATTTATTTCACGTTTGCTTTTACCATCAATAGTATTAAACAGCTTTTGAGGTAAGAGAAGAATAAATATAAACTTGGTGAACATTTTTTATTCAATTCTCTCCCTTAAATGGAAAATATTTCTAAAAGTGCCCTTCAATGGAAGAGAAATGATAAGCGATTGTCTCTAATTGGGAGCGGTCATGTGGTCCGTTGTTCCTCCCAAGTGAATTTCGGTGTCTTTTGAAGCTTAGTGTGCTAACCGCCGCTAAAGGACTCCGCTAAAATCAACATTCCTGTGGCCGATCAATGTCGATTGCCCAGGCTCATTAACCAAGTTCAAAAAGCGAATCTAGACATGCTTTTTTGTGGTTTAGTCGTGTGTCATCGAAGTTTATTGTATGCAGTATGGCGGACAGTATGATTGCTTATACTGGGGGAATGAGCCGAAATGGCAGTCTGATTGACTTCAGAACACGGTGCTCGTTTGAAGAGACTAAGTTTTTAAAAGTGCTAGTCCCTTCCCGAGTTCTACTTCTCGGTACGAATTACTTATATTAAAAACGGTTGTACATCAGGCTTATAAAGGTGATGAAAATGTACTTAGCTTTAAAGTAATACTGAACATTCATTTCTTGGCTATCACGGGCCCAGGTGGTTGAACATCCCAGATAGAAAAATTCTATATGTAGGGTTGTTTAAAAAGCACACCGTGTAAACAGTGAACTTACATTTGCTGCTAAAGATCTGTCACAGATTTGGCATAGCTAGGTACTTAAGAAACCTCACTTAGTTATACCAACCGCACCATTGTAGGTGGAAACAAGGTCTTGATATACGCAAAACAGAAGCCAAACATTCGATCCTGGGAAATTTCATTCAGTCGGCTAATGAGGCTTATTAATAACAACCTTGGTATTTGAAGAAGAAAGAAGCGATATGATTAATTAGTTATCGTTTTTAATTATTGCTCTGTTTACCAAAAGCCACAAGTTGTTATGATGCTAGTAGCACTTGTGATTCTTTTTACTCTTTCCATGTTTCCCTGTGCATGGCGATGTTTTAAAATCCTCACGAATGTACCACAAACTGGAGAAAATGTCATTTTTGCCCTCTTCTCTTACTTGTTTTTCCTTTTCTAAGTGTCGTTATACAATGTTCTGTGTGTTAGAATTTAGTGTTATTTTAATAAGATGATGATTGGATTGTAAGGTTGACCCTTGGGAAGAATTCATGACTTCAATTAGTATACAAACTTACTATGAAGTCCCATGTTCAGAGGTGTGTAGGTTAGTGGCAACATCACGCCGCTTTTACCAAGAAAAAAATTTTTACTTTTTATGTTGTCGTTTTGAAGGGCAATCTCTATCTATGGCTCAGCTGAAGAATACTTTCCCAAGTGATCACATCACTATTTCTGCAGGGAGGAATTCTACATCTATGAAAAAACGAATTGGTCTCAGGATTAGGGTTTTTACCGTTCAGAAAAAAACATATCATGCATATTAAATGTTGAAAAAAGAAAAAGCGCAACAGGAAAGAAGGTTATTCCACAGAATTAAAAAGTTTAAACCATCTTTCCAAGCCCAGATAGGACCAGTAGATAATGAGAGACAACGACTTCACAAGTACTAAAAGATAGAATACATTCGTATAAAGGCCGAACTCATGCAGCATAATGGTGGAGTACACTGTATGGATGTGCAGCTTTGAGTTATTTACAACTCCATTAACAGTTCCGAAAGTCACCCAGTCCTTCAAAGCAGACGTGACTGTTACAAAAGTAAGCACTGCTCAGGTGCCGTGATCTATCATAATTGGCTTGTTCTTTTACAAACTGAAGATCTACAACAATTCGTCATTCAGTCGTCAAGCCTCTTGAACCTATATCTTCGAGAATGTATCAACATTTCACTAACCTCGACGTGGCTAATGGTAACTTCGCTATGAGAAGGGTAAAGGCAACCCTTGATTGAGATAAAACCACAAAACAGGACACGTTTAGAGCTAGTGGAGAGTAAAATGTTATCAACTTGACGATTAGACGGCAGTTAACTGAATCATTCTTATAGTTTTAATCAACTTCGACAGAGCTTGGCTTTTCTATTTATTGTTACAATTTTATCTTTGTCAAGAGATTATAATGTAAGCTGTTTTGAAAATCCAAGTGGACAAGAAATAGGCGCACGTGCACAATTGTTTCTTCAATTTTCTTTATTTCCAATTTCCGCTTATCAAAGTCGGCTTTTTCTTTCACTGAGATTGCCGTCATCATTTTCCTTTTTCTTCTGGTATTTCTATCAATGTTTGCGCTTTTCACCGGTTTGCAAGCTTCTAAGTTTACTGGATCTAGCCGGTTTGTCAACTAGATTATATCCTAACAAACATAATCGGGAATTTCGAATGTTTGCTGGGCATTCTGTTCATTAATTTATGGAGATAATTCGGCCTGTCATGCTCTTGCGGAGAAAAATAAGCTTTTATATGATACCAGTAAAGACTAAAGAGTAATTCATGTTTATCATAGTTTATGAGCGTCTTAAAATAAATCTATGTTAACACTGCTACATCCATGCGTTGCTAATGCTTAGGCCCTTATTGTAAGCACAATTTTACCTTTTTTAAGGCCAGACATGCAGTCTTTCTAAACAGCCCTTTCAGCTCTAATGGAATATTTCCCTTAGCCTACGTTATGAACATGAATGTTTCTTGGAAGACATATTTAAAACTAAGGAGATAAACGGCTTAATTCTGCCTTGGTATAAATGTTCTGGAGAACAATCAACGAAACAGTAGATCACAAGAATTGTAGACCAAGTAAAATGCTTACATTTGGGTATAAGGAGAGGCGATTTTGTTTGCATGCCCTTTGTCTTATTTGATTTACAAACAATTAAATACTTTAAGAGTTTATTCTCACTTACGAAAATGCAAGGCTGTATTTGTTTGTCTATAAGAAAACTGGACAAAATTTTTCCTTTACCTCTTTATACAAAAGCTAGCAATGGTTCCTTAATTTTGTTTATAAAAACCAAACGAATGACATAATGTACCCACTTGAACGTTGTTGAACAAGATTGGAAAATAATGTTGTCACTTTGGCCGTTGCAACCAAATCATGGAATTTACTACCTCTAAATTTGAGTCAAGTCACGCTTAATCTTTGCGATTTTTTACCTTCTACACCATCTTCAAGTGAATCGCCGTCATTTTCCTCGCTATACTCTTCGTGTTCGTTTGTCGTGCGGCTCAAACCTGGTCTCCAGGATTCTTGAAGCATACATGAAGGCCGCTCTTCCACCGGCGTCGCGTAATAATAATCATTCCGTTGCTCAGAGATGTGCGTCAGACGAGGAGGCGCAGGATATATTGGCTCTAACGGCCGAGGTTCTGTAGGAAGAGCTATACTGTAGTCAATGGCTCTTGGCTGTGGATAGCCACTAGGATAATGAAAAACTCCAGGAATATTCTGGGGTGAATATAAGTACGAATTATACTGTTCGCGACTGTAAGATCTTGGGTACATTTCCGCGGATTACAGCTCAGGAATCAGTAGGGTTTCACGTCGGTTGTTTTGCAGGCTTCTTGTATCAACGACAATTAACGGGACTTTCTCTCGCTGAGATTAGACGGTTCGGAGAATGTCCGCTGTAAGTGATACCGTCTACAAACACACCGCACCGATTGTGCCTGTCAAACGATCAAATGCGCTACATGTCATCAATGCCGTTATGTCTCTCGCAACAACAAAGCGCTCAATAACGCCCGAAATAATTAGCTTGCAGGGCTTTAAATCTGCTGCGTCAACTTTTTGTGCACCCTTGAGAAGGAAAAGGGCAAACTGAATCTTCGGTTTTCTTAAATTGAGCGAGCGGAAAAGTTTGTTGATTGTAAATTCCTAACCAATTCGTCCTTATCTGATTGAGACTGGCTTCCTACATTGATGCCTCAATTCTACTTTAATTTATTTTTTCCCCAGGTTTCTTTGAATTGTTTCACCTTTGGGCTGCTGCGCCCGTAATAGTTGTCATGCGATTTACTTCTTATGCTTCAGTCCTTGACTCGTTGAACATTGGAGTTTCTTTGATTTTGTTATAGTAACTTGTCAACTTTAACATGAGATGTCAGTGTGATAAAAAATCCACAGGTTGTATGGCTTCCAGCCGTTTCTTCTTAACAAAGAAGAAACCGACACAATCATCCTCAAAGTCTTCATGAAAATTTTCGTGAAATGCACACCAGATGTCGAGGGGTTTGCATTGATTTCTGAGCATGCGCATTAACTAATCACCACGGGAGCGGCATTTTTCACCGATGAATTATTATTCTTACGTTTTGGTCTGCTTCTAAGTCCTATCTATTTGTATTTTAAACTCATTTTCTTTGCTGAAGCGTCTTCGAGCAGCTTCCAGAAATGGTAGTATTAATTTGAGACTATATTTCTCTCAATATATATTTTATCTAATTTGTAAAGGCAGAATGTGCGACGCATTTGAGGCGCATGCTGATATATGCTACAGAAGCATCTCAGGAAAGGGAAAATTGGTTTCAAAACATTTTCCCTTGACAAATTTAAGCGTATAATCAAAGCCCTTAGATGGGCTTAAGCTTTGTACAGGCAGTTCCGTATTATTATTTGAGTTATTAAATCCTTATTTTTACCGCCTCTAAGGTGTGGCTTGCGCCACTAATAAGTCGCTTAAAATGAAATCTTCTAACTGATAGCTCTTACAGTGGACTGTTAATGGCCATGGACTACTAGGTGGTTCAAGTAACCTTTAAATCCATCAGTATTGTGCATGTATAAACCATTTAACTCAACAATGTTTTTCCATGGTTATTGTTATTTTACTCTATAGGATGGTAGTTTTGGAACTGTGTATATACCGGTCAGATGAATTAAATCCTACTTTGACTGTGACAAAATCCGGCTTGAGTGTCATTTATTGAAAACAAGATTAACAGCCACTGAGCAGTGCTTTTGGGGAACTGTTTCAGCAAAAAGTTGTACAATGTGGACCTAAATTTTAGTGCTTGTGGGTGAAAACCTACTGTGTGATCATTTAAATCAGCGAAGGCTACAGAACAGTACTTTCTTGTGGTGCTGTTTAGTTTGCTGTTCATGGTGGTTCTAACCATTGACTCTGTAGATTAGTTAAATTTTAAAGTGTTGGACCAGTGATTCAAATGAAGGCTACATTGAGAAGTACTTTCCCTTGTTACTATTTTTTATGCTGTACAAGGTGGCTCTAACTCTAAAGTCACTGTGCGTAAATGAAATCCTTTAGTGTGACTATTCAAATAGTGAGCAGTACTTTCTTGTGATGCTCAGTATTTACCAATGCTGTATGAGGTGGTTCCAGTACTTTTGACTTGGTGAAATCCTCAAGTTTAATCCGTTCAAATGCTGAAATCGAAAATTAGGGCTAAGCAGTTCTTTCCTGTGGTTCTTCAAGATAGAATATATCGGAAAGTGGCGCTAACCTGTGAAGTCCTAAAGCGTGGACTCTCAAATGAAAGATTCTGCACCCTGAGCTGCTTTTCTTTGGTGATGTTTATTATGACGTAGAAGGGAGTTTTCGAACACTGATCTATCTACCACTTACTGCCGGCTAAGGGTAAATCCTAACTCACAACTAGTGACCATTTAAATAAACCCTTGAACGCAGCATTTCTTTCCTCAATGCCATATGTATTATGCTGCTGCAGGAGCCCGTTAAATGGGTGGGAAAATTTCCTAAATAAAGCCCCTCTCCAAGAAGTCCATCAGCATTACTCTTTAATAAGTTTTTTTAGTTCACGTCATCTTTACAAAAAGCAATGGACGTGATTTTTATTCGTATAGTGTTTGCATGAGCACCTTTCAAATGCATTTCCCAAGACCATCGACCAGTGCTAACTGAGTCAGTTTTTCACGGCTTTTTAAAGCCACCCAAGCACTAATTTTATGATACACAACCATTCGCTCGAAATTCAAAAACTCGACTTAATAATTCATAGGGAAAAAACAAAGTTTAATGAATATCTTTATGCCAGATAAAGACGAGGCTGAGATTTATGTCCGATTTTTTAGACCCGAAATAACCCCAAATCTAGGTTGTTAGTGCGAGGATGAATTGATCTATATCTGAGATTTTGAAGCCGTTTGAAAAACTCGCAGTCGTGTATTATCAGGTTTAAAAACTCTCGGCTTACTCGCCTCAAGTTTTTAAACCGGATAATAGTCCCGCTCGTTTTTTAAACAGGACTTAAAATGAACCTTGACAAACAATTGCTTTAATTTTTTATATTGGGGAACTAATGTTAATCAGGAGCAAGGGAACATAAACATGTTTTGTCAGGAGAGCCCACATTGGACTCCTGTTTTGATACATTATTTTCTCTTTTTAACAGATGAAATTTGTCACAGACGGAAGGTCTTGAAAGATTACTTCAGACTAGATACCTTAACTATTCTAATAGTGGTTTAAGATAGAATGTTCTCGTACTAGTGGGGTGTTATTTTATATGAATAATCATAACTATAACAAAATTGTCAAATCTGATTGGCTATCAACTGTCCTGATTTCAGCCTTATAGGACAGTTCAAATAGGACAGTACGCGTCATGCCTAAGTAATTGGAAAGTATGCGCCATCACGCGTGCCCTTAAATGGCTCTTTTTTTCACTGCTAGCAAAAAAAATGGAATTTCTTGTTTTGAAAAAGAGCGTTTTTTTCAAAAATTTTGTTTAAGTTATGATTAATTGGTAACAGAACTTCGTGTCGTCCAATTCGGTCTTTAATCATACTCGTGATTAAACAAAACGGACTCCCGCTGCGGGGTCGTCCGATTTTGTTAAATCACTCGTATGATTACAGACCGAATTGGACTCCACTCAGTCCTGTTACCATTACGTAATAAATGGGTTTGAGTCCGGAAGTCATTATTAATGTAACTGCCAATTAGAGAGCACTTCTAAGTTGTATCCGAATTCCTATTTGCATTCTCTGGAAATGAGCCACTGTTGTAAATGCGGGTAAGTAAACGTAGGATGTTATTTTATCATGGTCAAATAATGTACACAAAACAACCGTTTCACCCAGAGACTATTCATGGCAGATGTCACCCTGAACCTGCAGTGGTGTGACCATTCAAATGACACCTGTTTGGCATGCAGAACTTGTATGTATCTTTCTTTGACCAACTTTAGTGGTAATGTTAATGACCTGTTACAGTAATTTGTCCAGTGTGGCAATCCCGAACTAATTGGGATTTGGGCCATTTGTTTCGTTATTTGTCATGCATGATCCACGATTTTTCCGTTGACTTCTGCACTAGCTTGTTCACCTGGCCTTGGAAATCGCTCAGTTGTGAATCTATAAGAATACAGACACATACACACACAACCGTAGCTTTTTCTTTCTTTAAAGAGAGAAGAAGAAAGTATAAATTTTGGCCAAAACTGAAGCTTGAAGCCTGCAGTTCGAAAAACGAAAACGAAAACGTATTGAGTTAAAGGTCACTGTATTGGACTTGTGCGAAGTTATTTTTTTGTAAATGTTTGCAGCACAAGGTCGGGAGCGTCTTTATTTCGCATTATACCGCATTCAAATGGAAACTTGTGTGAAAAACGTTCCTTTGGTACTGTTAATTCATATGCTGTGTCTTAACTAATTGAGCAATAATAATAATAAACTACAGCATGATTACAGCGTGTGACCATTCAAATGATCATTACTGGGCAGTGTTTATTTTGCTTTACGAGGTAGTTCAAAGTGAGTGTGTAAATGTCATACTAGTGATTGTAACTTAGGCAAGGGCAGTGTTTATTTTGCTGTACGAGAGGTAATTCTAGGTGAGTGTGTAAATGCCATACTGGTGGTTCCAATAATAATAATAATAATAATAATAATAATAATAATAATAATAATTTAATATTTATATTGCGCGAAATACATGTAAATATGATCAAATGCGCATTACATGAAAGTAAATTATCGACATTAATAAGTTATCCAAAATAACTAAAAATATTATATATATAAAAAAAAACAATGGATCTCTAAAAATATAATATATACACAATCCTAAAAAAATCCTAATAAAAAGCTAATCTAAAAAAATGGGTCTAACTTATGCTAATACTTATGCTAATGCTTATGCTCCAACCTATGCTAATGCGTGCGTCCAAAGTTTTGCAAAACTGTTAGTGACCGCTGGTTAGTTTGACTGTTGTTCCAGAAGGCTAGATTGGGAAATTGTGACATAACTCATACTTTCTTTCTTAAAACACTTGTTTATTGCCAACGTCAGATTTGCCTGTAGCACGGTTACGTCATTTTACTACTACGGCCAATTGCTATATATCTCAGCAAATTAGGGCATTTGTTTCTTTAAAACCTCACTGGGATTACAAAATTTAAACATGAAAGAAAAAACGAAAAGGACTCTGAACGTAGTATTAAAGTGTTACTCAAAGTAGGCGCACCGTTCATAGCAATGCGAGCTAAAAATTTTACTAGCATTCCATTTGTCAAGGTTCTAT